CCATTTTCTTATGTACAATTATTATTTTTCTATTGTTTCTACAATTATTGTTTTTCCACTTTGTTGTGATTAAAAGATATTTAACGTTTTTAAATGTTTTTTTAAAAAGCATAAGCTCAGTTATTTCCCATGCTTTTCATTTGGTCGGCACTGGTAAGTCCTCTTCTTGCAGGTGCCACATTCATAATATCACAGTTGGAAACACGTAGATGTAAACTGTGTGACCCAACTATTTTGTTACATGAAGAGAAAGGAAAACAAACATGAAGGCATAGGAGCCCAGTAGTAGTTGTACTGGGAACAGCTATTTTGAGGTTGCACACAAGCTTCTGTGTCTGAATTGTGTTACTTTTTGAGACTGTGTCTCATTCAGGCAAAAGAAATTCTGGAAAACTGTTGGCTTACACTTTGTGGCTCAGGGGCTGCACATCTCATACAGCATCGTCACAGCTAAGTCTCATGATCAACTAGAACAGGGATCAGCAAGATATTTTCCTGTGTACCTTTCCTGTCATAATATTTTATGCTCTGTGCGCCGTAGGTCTGTGTCATCACTGCTCAGCTTTGCCGTTGTAGCATGAAGCAGCCATAGACAATATATACATGACAATGGCTGTGATTCGATACAATTTTATTTAAGGACATAGAAATCTGAATTTCATATAATTTTAATATGTCATGAAATATTCTTCTTTTGATTTTTTCCAGCCAGTTAGAAACGCAGTAACCATTCTTAGCTCGTGCTGATCGCCATTTATTGGCCCCTGGTCTGGAACTGTGTTGTCCAGTTCAGGGACCACTCACCACGAGTGGCTATTGGCTATTGAGCGCTTGAAATGTGGCGAGTCCAATTGGAGATGTCCTCTAAGCTTGTAAAAGACCAAATTTTGAAGACAATATTAAGAAAAGAAAGAAAAAAAGCTCATTAATAGTAATTATTTATATTGGTTGCTTGTCAAAATGATAATATTTTGGATGTATGGGGTTAAGTAAAATGTTATGAAAATTAATTTCACCTGTTTCTTTTTAAATGTGGCTAGTAGAAATTTAAAACTACACCATGCAACTCACATTTTGTTTCTTTTGGACAGCACTGATCTAAAGGAATAAATTAGAGGTGGCCAAGGTTTTAACAGGCTCCCTTCATTTCACATAAGGGTGGTCAGGTGGTTGTATGGTTGTTGAATGGGGTGTAGTGGAGGAGGGGAACTGATTGCCCACGTGTGATGTTTGGGGAGGGGACATTTTAATTTCCTTGTTCTAAGGAAATTCCATCTCTGGGTGGTCCCTAGCTTCGGTGCAGGTGGAGGTCCTTGGAGGAGGTCAGAGTTGACTCAGGTGGCGTTTTTGGCCCTCCAGCCCTAGACTGGTCTAGGGCCTAGGAGTGTCTTGGTGCTCCAAGGGTCTTTGGCCTGGAGCTGGAGGTCGACCCTGTCCTGCTGCCTCGTTGGTCGTCTTGATACTTCTCTTGTGTTAATTGAATGGTGAGATGCCTGGTTATGGGACAGATCTGTTTCATTGGTTAGAGAAGTTAAAGAAGAGGAGTATTTCTATAGATTTCTATAGATTGGAAGGGAACAAATTTTTTTAATGAAGTGCTTTATGTTAAATAACATTAATATTTATAAAATATTTCCTTTCTTAGTTTTACAAAGCTGATCAAAGTAGGAGTGTCTACTTTTTGCATTGCCTTCAGGAACCACTCCTTGGTGCACAGGAAGAGCAGCGTTCCTTTGTAGCCACATCTTAGTTACTAACTAGGAGTCCAACCCTCCAACTTCCTCTTCATAGCAATTCATTGCGTTAGACTGTCACCAGATTGACCTTTGATAGTCTCAAAGGACGAGGATTCTCTGTGACTGCATATTTGCCACTGTGCAGAAGAAGAGGAGTCTGGGGGCCTCAGGATACGCTTTTAGTAACCAAATTGGAGAAAAGTTCTAGGGAAGGGGCTGCTCAGAAGCGGCTCTTTACCAAGTGATGTGGAAGCAGTTTAACAAGCAGTAAGTCCACACTAATGGGTGACAACTGAAACTTATGGTTATCAGGGGTAAAGGGGATGGGAAGGGATAACTTGGGAATTTGAAATTTGCACCTCTTGGGGAGTGATGGAAACGTTAGCTATCTTGATTGTGGTGGTGGTTTCATTGGCGTCTACATCCATCAAAATGTATCAAACTGTGCATCTGAAATATGTGGTTTACTGTACACCTAGAGTAAAGGTGTTTAAAAAAAAAACCTTGTCTTTCAGCTCTTAGATGGTTTTGCATCTAGAGTTATGGGCACAGTTTAGGTTCTATCAGTGGGAAGCTTCCACTGACACAAATGTCCACAGCAACTGGCCCCCACTGTCACTGTCTAGTCACCAGCCTTGTAGGACTTTTGATTTTGAGTGGAATAAAGTGCTTTCTGTCTATGTATTAATGTGTATTTGGAGCCTAAAAAAAATCTAAGTTCAAACAGTAGCAATTATTAACTGCTTTAGAGCAATTCTAGTCTCTAGTTTGCTAAGCTGAAAATGATAGGAAAATAGATTGTTTAAAATATCCTTGCTTTTCTTTTCTAGTGTTACCAAAATTTGAAGTTGCTTTGGAGATACCATTATATTGTTCTTTAAATGCTAAGAGTTTAAATGGTACCATCACAGCAAAGTAAGTATCCTATTTCTTTTTATGACTATAAACTGTTTTGGAACTGCATGACAAAGAGCTCATTATTTACCCCAGAACATTAGCACGATGTCTTGTTTCACTTATTAAATTCCCCAATGGATGGGAAACAAATATTTATAATAATTAAGCAGATCTTTGTACTCATTTCTCTGCTCCAAAGCTGCTCCAGTCTAAAAGGCTAGTGTCTTTCCAAGAGTCATCAAAAGAGTTACAGTATAGATGGTGTCAGATGAAAAAGAAAGTTGTGGCTTTATTCCTCATTCAGCTGACATGGATTAAGGCAATTTACTTCTTAGTGCTAATTGTTCCCTGTCAATAATGGAGGTTGAATCTTCGGGGAGGAGTGTTGTTGCTTTATTACAGGTAGCTGATGAGTCAATAATCCACATTCATCATCCATTTCAGCATCCTTGCACAGAGACTTCCAGCCCACCCTGACGTGTAGTCCCTTTCATGGTTTTGATCCACTGGCTCGAACAGCAGAGCATTTTGTATTGCTGAGGTGAAAAGCACCCTCAGAGTTTCAGACCAGTGGCTCTCCAAAAGAGTGGGGTTGTCCTCAAATCCAGGATTGATTTCTTTTAGCATTTAAAAAAGATTACTTTTTTTGCCCCTCCCCATCCTTTGGGGTTTGGAAGGACCTGGCTGGGGCAACACTTAGGACTCGAGCCCGTCCTCGTGTACCTGTCAGTGGGCTGGAGTGGGCCTGGGTGGCTAAGCCTCCTCAGGAGAGCAGCCTGCAGGCTGGGGGCGGACCCACATCTCTGAGGGGACCTTTCCTGGCTCAGCTGGCCCTCCCCTTCCAGACCAGAGAAGGTCTTGCCCTGGGTCCCAGTAGACCTCACCATGCTCCCTGGTGCCCTCCACAGCCCCTTTGGAGAGGTGCTTGCTTTTCCTCCCTAGGAAGGGTATTTGTAGTGTTTATTATATTTTTTAATTGAAGTATAGGCAGTTAACAATGTGTCATTTCTGGTGTGCAGCATAATGTCCCAGTCATGCGTATATACATGTGCATGTATATATATGTATATTCATTCTCATATTCTTTTTCATTAAGGGATTATTACAAGTTATTGAATACAGTTCCCCATGCTATATAGAAACAATTTTTTAAAATCTATTTTTATATATAGTGGTTAACATTTGCCAATCTCAGACTCCCAAATTTGTCCCCTCCCACCTCCTTTCCCCTGGTAATCGTAAGACTGTTTACTATGTTTGCAAGTCTGTTTCTATTTTGTAGATGAGCTCTTTTCTTTCTTTCTTTTTTTAGACTTCATGTATGAGTGATAGCGTATGGTATTTTTCTTTCTCTTTCTGGCTTACTTCACTTAGAATGACGATCCCCAGATCCATCCATGCTGCTGCACCTGCCATTGTTTATTCTTTTCTTTTATCACTGAGTAATATTCCATTATATAAATATACCACAACTTCTTTATCCAGTCATCTGTCGATGGACATTTAGGTTGCTTCCATGTCTTGACTATTGTATACAGTGCTACATTTTTTATGTGTCATTATATCAGTGCTTTGGTTTCCGAAATTTATTTAGTTTCAGACTTTATTTGTAATTGCTGGTAAAAACTGGACCCCATCTCATCACTGTCTCATCACAATATTCCTCTCCCGATGAGGGTGTGTGGCCAGTGGTGGGCAGTACGTCTCCTGGTAGAAACAGTCCACACACCAGGACATTTGAAGATGCCTGCTTTAGGTTCTATTTAGCAAAAAAAAAATCATGTGAAACCCCTGTGACACAAGGCAAAAACATGTCTGCTATTTGTATACCAAGTTAATTCAACTAAGAGGTTACTTCCAATGTGAATTTGGGTGCTGTGGCTGGATTTATGGTTTAGAAATACATAAATACCTCTTTTTCTCCCACACAATTATTATCCTGCCCTTGATCTTAGCTGAAGGTTAAGCATTCTGTCTGTTTTATTTTGAGTTCTTTGGCTAACACGTATAAAACTTAGTGACTGCAAAGCCATATAAACCATCAATGTCCTCATGGATAATGTTGAAAATGGATACCTTCTTTTCTTCTGTTCTAGTTTTTGGGGTGGGCCAGGGATTTAATACAACCAGTTAGAATGGTGATCCTTAAATTCTGGTATCTCTCTAGGAAATTTATTATATACTAAATTTCAGGGGGTGTGATCCCCTGCAGCCGCAGGGTAGGCAGCTTCCTCCCACCAGCCCAGGGAACCCTTGTAGTTTCATCCTGATTCCCATTTGTGGAGATACTTTGAGATACTGTTGGCTGAGAATGGCTTGGCAACTGTGATGGCCCCCTGGCATTTCTTTAGTGATCAACACATTGTATTTGTAACATTTTCCTTAGTATGTGTATCTGTCAAGTTTCAAGCAGAGAAGCAGAATCAGCAGGAGATACATATTAAGAGATTTATTGTGAGAAATTGACTTGATTGTGAGGGCTAACAAGTCCAAAATCTGCAGGGCAGGTCGTTAGGAAAGGCGGGCTGGGACAATCAGGTAGTGATGTTACTGTTTATGAGCAGAGTTTCTTCCTGTTCAGGGAAGTCTCAGCTCCGCTTTTAGGGCCTTTCAACTGATTGAATCAGGTCAGTCAGATCATCAAGGATCATCCCCTTGACTTAAAGTCCACTGAGTGTGGCTTGAACACACCTATAAAATACCTTCACTTCAACACCTAGATTAGTGTTTAAGTGTTTAGGGACTTCAGCTTAGTGAAATTGATGTATCAGGAAGACCATCTTAGTGTTTGGTTTGTCAGCTGTAGATAGTGAGTTTCCTTGTTGCCATTTAAATTGCTTAGATCTTGCTAGTTTCTGATAATGCAACCTACCTTGGAGATGGTGGGTTGAGTCTCAGCCACTGCAGTAAAGCAATATCACAGTAAAGCAAGTCACGTGAAGTTTTTTGGTTTCCCAGGGCATGTAGAAATTATGTGTATACTGTACTGTAGTCTATTCAGTGTGCGGTAGCATTATGTCTGAAAAAACCAATGTCCCTTCCTTGATTAAAAAACACTTTTTTTGCTAAACAATGCTGACTACCATCTGACTGTTTGAGTCATAACTTTTTTTCTAGTAGCAATACCAAAGTTTGCTGATCACAAGTCACCATAACAGATATAATAATAATGAAAAAGCTTGAAATACAGTGAGAATTACTGAAATGTATCAGAAAGACACAAAGTGAGCAAATGCTGATAGACTTCCTCCTTGCAGGGTTGCCACAAATCTTCAACTGATTAAAAAACTCAAGTGTCTGTGAAGTGCAATAAAGCAAAGCACAGTACAATGGGATCGACCTGTAGTCCATTCCCATTACTTCCTTCCTATCAAAGCTCCTTCCTTCAGGCTTCAGTTGCTCCGGGATAACGTCCACAGTGGTGGCAAGGGAAGATGATTCTGTCCCAGGGCAGCGAGATCTTGTGTGTGTATCTAGGTGAGTCATTCGTGACACCGCACAGCCGAGGACTTTTCCCCAGAGGCCTGTGGTTAAACATTCCTCCTCCATCCCAGCTTTCATGAGTTCATTTTCAGACCATTGCCCTGAGAGTGAAGTTCAGAACTTTCAGTATATCTTCCAGAATTCTTTTCTTATTTCATGTCTTTTGAAACATGTCCCGGAATAGCTTTGATTTGCTTTTTTAGAAGTTGTTGAGCTATTATTTTCTGAATGATTAGTTTATCCCCCGAATTTCCAGATTCTATTTAGGACCATGACTGTCAGTGTCCTTGTTTCTTGATTAGTGTAATCAGCTTGGGGCTTGGAAAGCAAAATCTGCTTCACATTTAATAAAAATTAAAAATATTTTTGCCTGAGAATACTTTAAATTATGTATAGGTTTTCAGGCTCTCAAGTATAGTATCATGTGATGTAAGTTAAAATACAGTGTTCTGCTGTTGTAGTTTTGCATTTGTTTAATCTTTGACAGGATACAAGCACTGGTAGGTTTTGAGGACTCTCGAATGAATGAATGTGATGCTGACGTTGCTAACCGGGGTTTCTACTAACTTTACTGTTTTTACTTGGAAGGGTGGT